CAGTCATGGTCGGTTTTGACAGGTTTTACAGTATTACGCGGATACTACAAACTACAAGTATGCACTAGACAGTATACAGTCACATTGATCTCTCCTTAGCATTAATTTCGTTGATAGCGTACTTTTAATCAAACAGCCAGACACACACATACATGTCAGTGTAGATGACAAAGACAAAACTTACTCGTAGTTGATACAGTTACTGATGGACTCCATTCACTGTAACCATGGGAATTAGCTGCACGTAATCTGTATCTATATTCTGTTCTGGATTCTAAACCATCAAATAAATGATTCTTTGCATAACCACTGTAAAAGAAATGAAACACAATATACATGTAAGTATCAACATACACAATGTTTACATAGTAATTTTAACTCATCACAAGCTGAAAGCCTCCATGGACATACAAACCCAATTGAAAAATAGAATCAACAGACAAATTATATTTTTACCATTTTTTTTGGAGGGTACTACATGTACATGTATGTGATACCAAATAATTGGTAGAAACAATCTAAAGGGGGATTACAGAGTACAGTCTTGAATGTCTAATTTAATTTAATATAAGAATCTATAATTTGATTATTTCCTATACTGTATTTACTCTATTTAGAAGCACATCTGCAAAATAGCATTTATTGCATGATGCATTGTGGGTCATTAAATCATGAATTTTTTTAACCATTGACCAGACACACCTGTCATTTATATAGTAAATGCACTACATGTATTTAGTTTCTAGTGCAAATACACTATACCTGTAGCAGTATTTTTAGAAGTATTATAAATACACCAATAGCCATATTATTAGTAATGCAATTTCTATAAAAACACTTGGGGAAAATAGTCAGAGCTATAATAGTGCAAGTTGAGTTATTTCAGTCATGTGACAATTTCAAGTTTCCATTTTTTTTTTTAATTAATTAAATGTAAATATTGTATTCTATTAAAAAATACAGCGTAAATTATTGAACACATGAACCAGGGGATCAATGTTGCTTTTCATACAATACAGACACAACATTTGTTCACAGAGTTGTAGTTAAATTATGCAACAATGATTAGGACATTAATTTGAACATAACATATAACCTCTGAGGCTTACTATGTGAATTTAATAATTAATATGTGAATTATTAATGTATTTTGTAGAATTATCAAGATTACATAGAAGTTCATACCTTGTATGAGTTGATAAAAATACAACACACTGGTTTTATTTTTACTTTTACAATATTAATTATTTAATTTGTTTGTTGCAAGTTTAATTAAAACCTTTATTTCCTTTACAGAACTATAAATTTAACTAAATGAACTTCTAAAATTAATATTTGATGCAATTGAACTTGAGCGTCTATGAGCTGCTGAGTGGCTGACTAGACTGACTAACTTCCTACTGCTTCCCGCTATTCCCTATCTGATAGCCCCACCCATCTCATCAATTACTGTCAACGTAACATTGAAGACAGTATTTTCCCTCTATACTATCGAACCGAGGGAAAAGATATGTCTTCACTATACTCTTATACCATTGAATAAATTCCATTACACTTCATTCATTCAATAATGATGGATGAGCCAGAGATGCGACAGCTTTAGACTCCATTAAAGAAAGGGGAAGTGAAAATATCTGGGTTAAAACCTCTATGCAACATCAAATATTCAGTAAATATTTTCCCTTTCACACGCAGTCACTGTTGTGCATATCAGCTACTAATTATTAAGCACAAAATTAACCGCCAAGCTCAGCATAGTTACTATAAATAGCGCCACATAGAGTTCAATCTCAGAAAGTCACTGTTTCACTGCATTGGCCTGACAGTTTGTGTTTGTAATTATTATATATTTAACTTTACAGAATACTGACTATAAGTAGTATTGCCCGGTATATGTAGGTGAAAAAATAAGGCAATTTAAAGTAACTGAACTGAAGGTTGTACATAATTTGCTGATGTATGTGATGATGGCCCTCTATAGTTCAATTACAGAAAAAGTAATGTGGATTTTTATCTACATTATTAGGACAACGTCAAAAGATTAAACTTATTCCTTTTAATAGTTTCTGAGTGAAGGGTGTCCCTAAAAAGTTTCAATCCGACAAAATTGATTTTATATTTTTAATGATTCCTTATTGATTAATATTTGACATGCACACTCTGATTGAACGATAAACCAATCATGAAATCTGTTTAATATGATAGAAACTTGTATTTGAACCATTCCTGAAAATGAGATAAAATTTATCATTTTTCCTACATCTTTTGATGTTGTCCCTAAACTATCATGAAATGACATTAAACTGTAGGCAGGCAAAATTAATATTCTTCCCTACTATGTTTAATAATCACAATCTGATTAAAATCCGATGTAGGTATGAGGCTCCAATTTTTTTTTTTATTATAATTATAGTGTTCTATGCTAAATTTTACACATTCACTGGATTTTAATTTAGCGCATTTTCCAGTCAGCGAAAATAATATTTTAATATTTTCCTGATTAAATCTGAAACAAATATACTTGTATAATTTAAAATTGAAAGCAATAAAGAAATCCAGTGTACAAACAGAATAAATAGTTAGGATTATGTTACAGCTGGTGACAAAACATG